GAGGAAATGTATTTTAAGAGTTAAATCACAGTTAAAATCACAATGCAACAAGTATAAATTTATCTATACATTTGTCTGTTTAAATTCTGTCAGTTCATACTCAATCTTTTAATTAAACTCACTATTAAATAATGTTTCTTGTTAATTTCCATCTCAGGATGCTGTTTGGTGTTTAATCAGGCGTAGGTTTTGTATTCCTCCTTCAAACAGGATAGCTACTATGCCTTTTTCTATTTATTCTGACTATATTGGTGCAATTGAGTTATATACCCTAATTAATTATATTAACTCTCTGAATTTCATATTGCTGCTATTTTTTCCATCAGATATAAATATAAAGTCTGCTTATTAGAAATAGTGGAGAATCTTTCAAAGTCCTTAGGCAAAATGAAACCTAAAATTAACATTTGATTTTCTCCCATTTTGTACTTCCCCACTCTTTTTCCTTATTTTACTCCATGATTCTTGATAATTGTCATATCATGTTACTTTGCAAAATAGTCAGAATTCTAGGCAATTATATCTATAATTCATTTTATTTTGAAATGAATGTTGATTGAAATGAAGATATCTGAATTTCTTGCATAGACCAACTCTGAAGCATCTACAATATTCTATTCTGTATAATTGGTTGCATGCTTCAGTATATCTTCTCAAAACAAAACTATTAATTGCATTTAATAAGCAGCAACTGATATCTAGTACATTTTACCAATGTAGTTTAATCCAATATATTGGATTTCTAGAATATTGTCAGGGCAATTTTCAGTGTTACTAAGCATTAGGAATAAATCCCAAGTAATTGATAATTTGATTTAATGTTGATATAGTTTTAGAAAAAATACCAATGTTTACTTTATTACTTACCTTCCCAGACTTATTCCTGATGTGTTGTAAACTGAAAATTATTGTACAGTACTTCCATCAGATATTTATATCAATTACAAAAACCAAAACTGCAAGAAATAATTTCTAATTACTCAGCTTCAAATCATTTCTCAGCTCATGCAAAAAGTTGAAGGTGGCTGATATACATATGAACTTTGGACTTGGTGACTAAATTCTGGCATTGATTTGAGTTTCATAAGCTTATGGCGTGCGTATGTCATATACATCCTACATTTCGGTGAGAGAGCAAAACTTGAACTCGGAACAAAATGTTAAAAACTTTTGTAAAACCTGAATAGTATAGTTTTTGACTAGAAATCACATTTGTTGATTCATGACTCTGAAATATCATCCTGGATATTACAAAGAGGTGTTGCATATTAATCTCAAAGTTAATTTCCAGTCAAAATATGTTCCATTGTTTTGAACTAGTTTTATATCAAGCCTAAATTTAATACTCTCCCAAATAAAGATGGCACAGGCATTTAAGTTGTCCTAATGCTAATTGATGCTTCACATTTTCAGGTTTTTTTCTAATACTGTCAGATCAGACTTTCAGTTTCAATTTGAAAATAATTCATAAATAAACTTTCTTATAATATAACACTTATAAATATATCATGATCTTCCAAAATAGCAAAACTATTTTGGTTTTAACAGTTTGGCGTAGCCTAAACTAACTAAGAATCTCATATTAATATGTCATAACTGGGCAGTTCCCGAACCGCATTTGGCCTAGCTAGCACCTTAAATCATACCATTAAAATTTAGTAGTGAAATGGCCTGTTTATTTTTACATGCATTCAAGTAATTTTATCAATGTTTGCAAATCAGCATGGACGTATTTTTTAAAAAAAATTAATAGTATTGTAGCTGGGTTCAATCAATGTAAATTATGTTTTTTTCAAATCCAGAGACATTTGTGATATTTACTTTCTGCTACATGGTAAAAGAATATGTTGATGAAATATATGGGAAATTCTTAAGAGGCATTTTTAGCCCAGGGAAAATCAGTTCTGTAGAAAAAACATTAGACAATAATATAAACATCAGTTAAAATTACTTGATCACTTTTCATTCCTTCCTCCCTAGTCCACATTTTGTTTCAAAAATATAATGCATTTTAGAATAAGAACACTTATAATGGAATGTCATAGGAAGAGGGTGCATTCCAGAGAAGTAAGATACAATTTTGTCTCAATATTTCCTGTGAGAGAAAAGGGTGAAGACAGCCTTTTCCTAATAGTTCACAGAGTATATTACAAATGCAGATAGTAGGGTCCTCAATTAGGCATTTTTTTGTCAATAGGTGTTAAACAATAAAAAAAACTCAATTTGAAAGAATCCCAAGTGTCATTCTTGGTTTGGGCCTGAAAACATGGTGGCATAACATTAAAACAGAGCATGGCACTATAACTTTAATGCTTCGTGTTTAATGTATAACCAGCCAGCATTTAAACAAAAAAGAATCAGGTATCAGAGACTCACACCTCTTCCCCAGTACCTCATTGCCTTGTTGTTGTTGTTGTTGTTCTCCTTCCTCCTCCTCCTCTTCTTCCTCCTCTTCTCTTCCTCCTCCTCTTACCTCTCCCACCTCCACCTCCTTCATCTTCCTGACTTTGTTGTTTTTCCAAAATAAGTCATTGTTGCTCCATGTTTCTGATAATAACTGATACCCCAGCGGATGGACCAGGCTGTGTGACTTTCCACATTCACACAATGTGTTATCCGCTAATAGTCTCTACTTGAGCATATTGACCTGACACATCAACCCTCAGCTTATTCAGGGTTCTCCAAGTAATATAAGGAAGATCAGATCCTTTAGTTATAGCTCCTTTACTGTTATTCCTTGCTCAATGCTTTCTGTCCTCCATTTTTTAATTCTGATTTACTCTTGCATATTCGCAAGAATGTTTGTTATAGCCATAAAGCTTTTTCTACATCTGAATCAGCAAGCTTGGGGCATATGTCCATTCAGAGAATGTTGAGGATCATTTTCTTGCTGAGTTCTCTTGGCTGCTGCTTTTCTCATGATCTTAGGTGGAGCAATGCCAGCAAGAGGGTATATTTTCTCAGTTGGTGTAGGTTTGAGGCATCCTGTCACTAAACATACTGCTTCGTATTGTTAGTGCTAAAACTAAGGTTAAAATCTTGTCTGATATTGGTATCATTCAGAACAAGTGAATTGAATTTTATTTGGCAAAGTGTGATTCAACATACAAGGAATTTGTCTCTGGTACAGAATCATTCACTATATATGGAAAGCAATTTATTATTATTAATAAAAGAAGACAACACACCAGATATCACAGTTGTAGAAGGCCAAAGCATATAGTTTATTGATATCGCTGTTCCAGGAGACGCCAGAGTCGAAGATAAAGAACTGGAAAAAAATCACAAAATATTGCAACCTGGCCATCAAAATTATAAGGCTATGGATGAACATGTAACAGTGATACCCATTGTCACCAGGGCACTTGGTACCATGTCCAAGAATTTTACAAAATACATAAAGAAATTGCAGCTTCCTGCAATAACACCAGCGGAATTGCAAAAAACTGTGCTACTAGGAACATCATATATTTTAAGAAGATACTTGGTTGATACCTAAGACGCTGGCAGCAACCCGTATCAACCATTACCACCAGTCAATGGTATTTGTAACACATCTTTAAATGTTCAGTTGACTAAGTTTCATGTTTAATGAATAAAAGAAATGATGATGTGTGGAATGTTGCAAGTACATCAAATGTTTGAAGAAGAAAAATGGCTTTGGGAGAATATGATGAAGATATATTGAAGTTAGTATATCAGGAAGGCTTACTGACTACTGAAAGACCAAACTGGCCTACAAGAAAGACCAACCGAAGAACAGAATGGAGGCATGGGAAGACAAAGCACTACATGGCCAGTATATTAAAAAAATAGCAGGGAAAGCACATAATAAACAAGATGTGGCAATCGCTAAGAGAATGAAAGTTGAAAAAAGAGACCGAGGATTAATTCTGACTGCACAAGATCAAGCCTTAAGGACAAATGTATACAAAGCCAGAATTGAGAAGGCAGCAACAGACAGTAAGTGCTGCCTATGCAAAGAAGCTGAGGAAACAGTGGACTACCTATTAAGCTGCTGCAAGAAGATTGCACAGACTGACTATAAGCAGCGGCATGACAAAATAGCAGCAATGGTGCACTGGAAGATTTGTAAGAGATATCACTTGGTACTGTGCCCAAGAATTTTACAAAATACATCAAGAAATTGCAGCTTCCTGCAATAACACCAGCAGAACTGCAAAAAAACCTGGACTACTCAGAACATTGTACATTTTAAGAAGATATTTGGTTGATACCTTGGATGCTGGCAGCAACCCGTATCAACCATCAGCGCCAGTCAGCGATATTTGTGATACATTTTTAAATGTCCAGTTGACTGAGTTTCATGTTTAATGAATAAAGTGTATAATAATAATAACAACAACAGCAGAAGCAGCAACAACAATGATAATAATACCAGTAAAAAGGGGGAATAAAGAAGATAAGGATAAATAATAATACTACAATCACACTAAAAAGGTAAAGGTTTCCCTGTTAGTCATGTCCTAATCTAGGACACGGTGCTCATCTCCTTTGCATAACTAGTTACATATATTGTCCTGAAAACCTTAAACTAGCCTTTGGAAATACTTATTTCTGGTTTTTGGGGACAGTATAGAACAAGTATTATATGTAATTTCTTACAAAGTTGAAGCTGGAATGTCTTGGTACCTAAAGTAGTACAAGTAGGTAAATATAATTGGATGCTTTTTAATTTTTATTTTATTTTCCTAGCTTATATGATGTCTTAATTACAACTGACTGTCAGAAGCTTATAAATCTGAGTGCACTCTTGGTATTAAAAACACGAATAACAAAAAAGTAACTAAAATGAAATGCACAAAGGAGCAGCCCAGTCTTCCTGTGGCAGGGAAAAAAATCAAAATAATCTTTTCTATAAGGTTATTTGATGGAATATTTATGTTTATACTTCTCAGATGTACTGCATTTGTGTGCGTTCTTTATGTGAATGTTTTCATGCTGCTTTGTTGATTTACTTGTTTTATTTTACTTTGTAGGGATAGATTTCAAGATCAAAACAGTTGAATTGCAAGGAAAGAAGATAAAGCTACAGATATGGTAAGTGACTAACTGTTTGACATTCAAAATATTTTATGTGATTTTTATTAGCTACATTTGGCTTGTCTGGTTAATATATCTAATCAAGATACATCATTATTTAACCATGATGATTCACTGTAGCTAATTATTACAGCAAAAAAAATCATAAAATCAGATCAGTCATACTGACTGATCTGGTTGACAACAACCAACATGACTTTGACTACAATTCCAGGCTCAATTATGGTCGTAATTGAGGACTACCTATATCATATGTACTAATAAAGTGACTACATTGCCTATAACACTGAATCTTCTCTCCTAGTCTTTTAATAATAACATTGATAACTTTTTAATTTTAGAAAGTTTTTAATATTGTTTATTTTATGATCTCTTCATTTTTTTTGTACACCATCCAGCGTTACCATTTTGAGAGATGGGCAGCTACATAAATATGAAGAAATAAATTTAAAATCCCTGATTTAAGATCCTCTAATCTTTTAAAAAATAAAAGAATTGGTGTAGTCGTTAATATAAAAAATGATGGCAGCTATAGAGATCAAGAAAAACTAAATATCTCAAAAGTCCTCTTCTCCCACAAACGTATATAAAAGGAACATAAGCAATGCTATAACCTATATATTTTGCAGCTACCCTGTTCCCTGAAAATAAGACCGCCCTGGATAATAAGCCCAATTGGGCTTTTGAGTGCATGCGCAAAAATAAGCCCTCCCCCAAAATATTGCAACACAGCAGCAGCCATGAGGTAACCACTCTCGCCGCCTCCTACACCTCAAAAATAATATGACCTCCCCGAAAATAAGGCTCAGCACTTATTTCGGGGGTCAAAAGAAAGGGAAAACGAGGTAGTCATTCTAGAGAAATCACACTCAGTGCAAATTGAATGTGAATTATAATTTCATTAAATTTAATAACAAATAGCATTATAGTTCCAAATGCTATTCTTTCACTGACCTACAGTTACTTTTTGCTTAACAACGCTAATTGGGACTGAATGTCTATGGAGATTCTCGTTCATCCGGATCATGGTTGTCCCAAAGGTGCTTTTTCAAGAGACAACTGGACTTTCTGATTTTTCTCTGAAAACATTATACTTTTCATTCAAGAAGCTTCTTCAGCTTTCAGCTCTCAAGAGCTGAAGAAGCTTCTTGGGTGAACATGTTCATACCCTGCAATGAACCATAGTGTGGTTTGTTGGTGTCACCTTAACATATTTTCATTGTAGTAGTTGTAAATGCTAGTAGTTACTGAGAGTAATGAGTACTTAGAGAGTTGCATGAATTCAGCTAATGAGCCATTAAACAATGGTTAATTGCTTAGAGTGAACTTTCTTTGACTTTAGAGTAGTATGTGCAAAGGGGAAAAAGCTCCCACTACATGCTTATTCCAGCTGATGTTACTTATTCAAGGATCTTACTTTTCTTTAAATTTAATTGTATTTTATTTCTCTCTAAATTTTTAAGATACAAAATAAGAAGGTATGTGACACAAGGAATGCTTGACAAAAGTTTTTAGGAAAATATACACTATTTGCATAAAGGTCTGTTAGTTAAATTTACAGGTAGTTCCTTGCTTAATAACAGTAATTGGGACTGGCATTTAGATTTGTTTTTGTTAGACCTATATTCCATCCTTCTCCTTGAAGCTTAAGGCAATCTATAACATCCTTCATCCTCCAAGTTTTCTTCATAATTTTCCTCCCACAGCAATCTATTTCTGAAAAATGATTGAGCTGAGACTAGCCCAAACTAATTGGGTAAGTTTCCATGGTACTGCATTGATTCTCTTGTGAATTACTAACTGTAATTCCAATGAATTGCCCTTACTTACCTGTTTGTTTGTTGGTTGGTTTATTTGCTCCCCATCTCACCTCCGGCCAATACTTATAAAAGAAACATCAAATTTGACATATGGAACAAAATGTTATCAGAGCACTGACATTTATTTTTAAATACTTTTGTGAAGATATGCTTCCAGTAATTCTGGAAGACTCATGATTATAAATTAAACATCTTGCTCTTTCTTTATTAAAATTAGTGGCCACAATTTGTAATATCTAAACTAGATGTCACTTCATTCATTTTTAAAGGGGAAAACATTTCTTGGAATTGTAGAAAAAACTCTAGATTTCAAGATAGTTCGCTTCTGTGCAAGAAAGACTACTTTATATTTCAGAGAATAGCAATCATGTTTTTGCATTTATACTATCTTATTGCTATCAATTTAAGACTGTTGCATTTATAAAATTATCTCCCCTGTAAAATCATTCTCTGTGGTATCATGATGTACTCAAGCTTAAGTTTGTCTGCTATTTTGCCTTTGCTTCTATCTTTGTTGTTTTATTCATACAATTACAATATTCAATAATTATATGAATCTGTTGGTTATCTTAAAATTTCAAGTACTTGAGCCTCTAAGCTATCCATAGGTCATGCATCTTATTTAGAGAAAATGTGAGTACAGTGTCTCATGTTTTCCCATTTTTCCAGCCAACAATAAATTTCATGATTCATTATGAAAACAAGTAATTTCTTCCAACTTTCTTTTGTTTTCCTAATGAATCATGAAATGTATTGTAAAACTTGACAAAGTAATTGCTTTATATGATTGTACCGTCTTAATTGAAATCTAGATCTCTCTTAGTCCTGAACAAAATGAATTGTGAACCACATTATAGCAAGAAAGGCAAAATCAAATCCATCACAATTCCAACTGAAATGAAGTTGAAAAAAATAATCCCTCCTGTCTAGGAGCCCCGGATATTCTGCAGTTTTACAAATCATATAATCTAGATTACAATTCAAGGAGCTCTATACATTGCATTAAGGAATAGACTAGTAAAAGTCTGTATTTCTATGAGGAGGTATTGCTCATAAAGCACTTTCCAAAGTTGTAAACTATTTTTAATAAATAAATAAATTAGGTGATTGGAATATATTATGGTAAGTGGGAAAAATTGTTATTGCAGCAGTTACTTCATCAGTTGTACAAAGTACAGGTAACATAATTGAGCTCAAAATTTCCATTGCTAAGCAAGAGAATTGTTAAGTAGGCTTTTCCCCATTTTGTGATCTTTCTTGCATAGTTGTTAACTGAATCGCTGTAACTGTGAAGTTAGTAAAACATTTGTTTGATTGATTAATTTGATTTGACTCCACATTTTATTTGATTGCTGCGGAGAGTTAGGTGAATTTGGCTGCCTCGTTAACGTTGCTTCTCAAAAGGTCACAAAATGTATCCCATGACCTTGGGACACTGCAATTGTCATAAATACATGCCAGTTGTCAAGCATCTGAACCATGGGGATGTCGGAATTGTGAAAAATGGTCATAAATCACTTTTTTCAGGGCCATTGTAAGTTTGAATGGTCACTAAATGAATGGTTGCAAGTCAAGGACTACATGTATTTGCCTGAGAACTCAAAAACTGATGAAGGCTTTACAGGAATTCTCCGCACCTCCACCTACCCCTGAAGTCAGATAGTTCCATCCCTGTTAATGTTCCAGAAATCCCTCAAGACTTAGTTATGTCACCAGGCCTGGAAGTCCCAGGAAACCAGATACATTTTAGATGACTCCACTGTGGTTGATACATTCACTTTGTAGTTCTCATAGAATTTACATTTTTAATAATTAAATTTTTATAATTATTTGTTGCTTTACTTGATTGTTGTATGCCTCCGAGAGTTGCTTTTTGCAACATGAGCCACCATAAAAGTTGGATAAATAAATAAATAAACACGTTGTAAGACATATTTCTTCAGAAGAGTGTCAAATCTAAAAATTATCTAGGTGTTACAACTGATTTTGCTTACTCATTTTCTCCCCTACCAATATTTTTCACCATTCTGTTAGACTCTTCAATGTTTCATTGCTTTTCTTTACAGGGACACAGCAGGACAAGAGCGATTCCATACCATTACCACCTCCTACTATAGAGGTGCCATGGGAATCATGCTAGTGTATGATATCACCAATGCCAAAAGCTTTGAAAACATCAGCAAATGGCTTAGAAACATAGATGAGGTAAGCAGTTTAGTGCAGGTTGGTGTAAAACTAGTGCTTGCAAAGAAATTAACTAAATATCTTTTCATTCCTGACTTTTCATGTTTTTTTGGGGAGGGGGGAATGTGGTCCTGATGTGTTCAGATGGATGCCTGTTTATTACGGAAGAATCGGAACGAGTTTGACACTATACATGATCCCAGGGGATTTAAATGCCATATGCCTAAAATTTGAACATATATACTGAATGTGTCAGCATTCTTTTGTTGTTGCTTTTTACAGACTTTAGATATGTAAGAATTATATCATGTACAGTACTTAATACATTTACGTATATGCCGTTTTATTTCTCAAAATAATTAACTTTAAGATACTAAAACAGTAAAATCAAGAGGAAATGGAAATAAGGGGATGTTGCCACAGAGTCAGGTATGGGAAGGTAAAGAAAATAATTTTTTAAAAATCTATCACAGACCAATCTTGGTTCTTAAAAGGTATTAGGCATGATAGTATCCTTTGAGGCAATCTTGCTTTTTGGAGTGAATAACCTAACCATTTTCCTCATAGCTAGTATTACATATTACATACTAGTAATCTTCATATTTAAATTTGCGGCTTGGACTTTCAGAGATTTTGCATCATAAATCAAAAATGATGGTCAAGACTTGAGCAATTATTGTCTCAAAACAATGAGGGGATAAATGAGGAATGATTTTGCTAAGACATAGTAAAAACGATTAATGGCTTGAAACTATTAAGGAGATTGGATGATAGGACTATTTTTTTAGAACTGTGTTTAGGCAGGATAAACTTGATATATAATAAACTGTGAACTATCCAGCCAAAATATAGTACATCTTTTACCTGATGCAGATGCAGTTAAGATACAATATCCTATCCAATCACCTCCAAGTCACACTATTTCCCAGTTCGTATTAATTTATTATATTATAGATTTCACCAATTTAGATGTTTTTAGACCATGCAGGATCACAGTAAAATTGTACCCAATAAAAGAGTATAATCTGAAGCATATCCGTCTTGGCAAAGTGTCTATATAACTTTAGTGTATATTATTATATTCTTTACAATTGAGTACCATTATTTTCTGATTTTGATCTGTAGTACATTTAGTTACCTATTTTACTTAAATAACAACTGCCCAAGCCCAAAAAATGAAATGGAAGGGGTTGTAAATTTCATTCACGCCCTCTGAGCTTAACTTTCATAGGGTGGTTAATAGAATGCTGTACAGAAATATAAAATGTCATTCTCTGATTGTACCCTAGCATGCTAACGAAGATGTGGAGAGAATGCTTTTAGGAAACAAATGTGATATGGATGACAAAAGAGTGGTACCTAAAGCAAAAGGTGAACAGGTAAGTACCACATCAGCAATTTTCTGCATTGGTAGTGCAGATAATAGAGGAAAATAAATCTTAGGTTTCCCTTAAGCCAATGGTTAGCATTATTTTGGTGGCTAAAAGATTACTGGTGTGTTTAGTGAGGCTGAATCCTGCTAGGTTAATGTGATCATATTATATGTTTTGATACGCCTGGGAATAGGGTTAATTGTAATGTGTTTATCTTAAAGTTAACATTACCATTTTATGTATTTCTTGCTTTATAAGAAACTGTTGTAATTTTTAGCAAGCAATGGACTGAAAGTTTTAAAACTTCTAATTGATAAAAATGTCACAATGTGGAATACTTTACAGTCCTGGTGTTAGAAATTTATTGCTGGAGGGTTCCCCCCAATTTGGAATGTTGGTTTGATTTTTATTTTTTAAAGTTCTAAGATATGGTGTTCTTTTGTATAACATTTTACAATTGACTGGAAAAGTATTTTCTCAGAGTCTGTGCTATCTTTATATTCCTGTGAGAGCATAATCTATTATTTAACTAGCATTTTAAATTGTACATATATTAATTATGCTTTGCTAAAATGTTTTTAAAATGTGTTGTTTTGTTATATATACTTTGGGACAGACTTAGAAGTTGTTCTGCTAAATTTGCAAATCATCTTTTAATGTGTTTATGATTATGATTTTTTTTAAGTGTGTTTTGACAATATGTCTGAGCAAGTTCACATTTGCTGATGTGTATCATTTTCCAGAAAGAATTTGTAACAAGTCTAATGTTTTTCCCCCCTTTTGGTCTAGATTGCAAGGGAGCATGGTATTAGGTTTTTCGAAACTAGTGCAAAAGCAAATATAAACATTGAGAAGGCATTCCTCACGTTAGCAGAAGACATTCTTCGAAAGGTAACTGCAATCTTTAGCAGAAAATGGGGTGGCGGGAACATTAAAATACTGAATATGGTTTGAGATCCTGACTTATTAGTAGTATCAGTCTTGCCCATAGCTACCATGCACCAGAATGTCATTGGTAAAACATGAAGAGCAAGGGAAATCATGCCTGCATTCTGGGAAGAGTTTGAGCCCATTACTCTAAAACAGTGTTTCTCGCTGGCTGGGGAATTCTGGGAGTTGAGGTCCAGACATCTTCAAGTAGCCAAGGTTGAGAAACACTGCTCTAAAAGAAGTGACCAAGTCATTGGGGCTATGAGTTTTGTCATCTACAAAAAAGTTTGTGAACCCTTTGCAATTCTCAATGTTTCTGCATAAATATGACCTACAACATGATCTGATTATCCCCACAGGTTCTAAAACTAGATAAAGAGAACCCGATTAAACAAATGAGTCGAAAACATACATGTTTATTTAATTAAGGTGCAGACATGGTTTTTCATAAAAAGCTTTGGGATAATGTGTTGGCTGAACCCAATAAGGTTATCTGTTGGACATGAAGTTGTCTTTAGGGGGCACCAGGAATTTCTGTGTTGGTTTTATCCTTTTTGTTTTGTTGTTGTTTATAAGCCACCAGGGTTATATATTGAAGTAGGGTAGCCATATTGAAGTTTAAAATATATTTTATGTTATTTAACAAATTTATATAACTCCCCATCTTACGAATGGTGACTTTGGACAGTGAACACATAATGATGAAAACACTCAAATGCACATTAAAAAACAAAGCCTAACATTGCAGGACTGTACATTTGACTGTACAGCCATTTTGTATGCTCACCATGGGATGCCCTTCCAAGATTGACGACAGAATCAAATTTTAAGGGCTTTCCAGAAGGCCAACAGAGATGGAGCTAACCTCAGGGGGAATAAGGTTCTATAGCGTAAAAGTCATATATGTGATAGCAATAGCAGTAGACTTATATACCGCTTCATAGGCCTTTCAGGCCTCTCTAAGCGGTTTACAGAGAGTCAGCATATTGCCCCAACAATAATCTGGGTCCTCATTTTACCCACCTCGGAAGGATGGAAGGCTGAGTCAACCCTGAGCCGGTGAGATTTGAACCGCTGACCTGCTGATCTAGCAGTAGCCTGCAGTGCTGCATTAGCCTGCAGTGCTGCATTTAACCACTGCGCCACCTTGGCTCAGTGATGGAGCTCTCTACTAGACAGCACCCATAGCATACCCCATTGAAATAAGTTCATGTAATTGGGAAGAGACAATTCCTCAAATAACCTGGTATAATTTACATAAATAAATGGGAGACACCATTCTACCAATATAGACTAACTTCAAAACTGGGGTGATAATACAAAGTAATGGCATTTTCCTAAGGCCCATAAAAATTAGAGTGTAGCTGAATAGTAATTATTTCAGTAGTTATCTTTGTATGGTTTTATGTACCTAAAAAGTTGAATTTCTGTTTAAAAAAATTTCTTGGCTACTACAGGTAGTCCTCGACTTATGACCAAAATTGAGCCCAATTTTTCTGTTGTGAGTTTGCCCCATTTTATGGCCTGTCTTGCCATGGTTGTTAAGTGAATCACTGCAGTTGATGAGTTACTAATCCAGTTAAGTCACTCTGGCTTCCCCATTGACTTTGTTTATCAAAAGGTGATCACATGACCTTGGGACAGAGCAATGGTCATAAGTATGAACCCATTGCCAAGCATCTTAATTTTGATCACTTGATCATGCTACAAAGAGGGTAACACTGAAAAATTGTCATAAGTCACTTTTTTCAGTGCCATTATAACTTTGACTACCTGCACTATTGTGGGCTCAACTTTGTTGCTCCTATGATTGTGAAATGTGGCTTAACTCTTATATTGCTTCTTTATTGCAGACCCCTGTAAAAGAGCCCAACAGTGAAAATGTAGATATCAGCAGTGGAGGTGGTGTGACAGGCTGGAAGACCAAGTGCTGCTGAATGTGTTCCTCTCACCAAGCACCACCCATCACCCCTCCTCTTCTTGCTGTGGAATAAACCACTTGGCCCATTTTTAACCTTAAATATTTTTCTCCTCATCTTAACATGGCTCCACCTTTCTTTTGTTCTTCTGTTAGGGAGCACTCACTGACTATAATTTTCTTGAAACAAACTGTATTAAAATCATGTCTGACGTTATTTTTAATGTACCAGCTGAACTCAATGCCACACTCTGGTTGTATTATAGCCCAGTCTTAACATTAAAATGTAGAACGACCATTTCAGCTCCAGTCTGCAAACCGTACAAGAATAAAACCTAGCATTAACAGTTTATTTTGTACAACAGTGGGGTTTTATTATGAACACTGTGCTTAAGTCACCATATTTGCATAAGCAAAAAACTCATTCGCCTTGAGTATGTAAATGGGGTTTATTTTGTCCTGTGCCTTATGTGGAAAGGAACTTAAGTTCTTCCCCTCCCCACTTTTTTTCTGTTCTGGTGGAAGCAAGACAGAAGATCAAATTCTACTGTGGTGACTTTACTATGATTGATGTAGAGGATTGAGGACAAAGGGGTTAGAGCAAGCTATTCCAATCTGCTTGATGTCTCTTTTCCTGTTGGTTTAAATTCTGACTAGTTCCTGCTGCCATTTTTTTTCCTCTTTAGCAGTCTCCCTCCCTCCCCTTTTTTTTGCCTGCATGCCGGTTTTATTTTTTTTATATATAGCGTGAAGTGTTAAGAGATGGCAATACAGTATGATTGCCAAATTTAATTCGAAGTACAGATCACAAATCTTTCTGAGGTAAAACGTGAAGTATTTACTAACCTTTGTCTAGCAGCTGTCAGACCAATTACTATTTCTCCCTTCCTTCCTGCATAGTTGTTGGGGTTTATGATATGGAAGAATTAATTGCATGCACTAGTTTTCTATGGAGGATGATGTGGCTGTCTTCAATCTTTGTATATGACTATACCATGTGGTTCCCAAATCTACAGCCATTCATAAAAGAATTTGGTTTTCTTTGCTGCTCCAGGCAGGTGACTCAGTAGCCTAGTCAATATTTAAAATGTGGGGGAGGGGGGAGAAAGAGGGCAAGTAAGTTTGAATGATCACACCCCTAGAATGTTTTCCTTCTGTGTTAAGTTCTTCACAATAAAAAAATCCCTTGTTTACAAACCTGGGCAATTGTAACTTCTTTCAACTAATACTGAAGAATATTAAGCATAAATATCACTTTAAATTTTCAGCTTAAGGAAGCAAGTATTCTCTGCTTTGCGGGGGTCCCACAGGAACGGGCCTTGCTTTTCTGGTTTCCTGATTTGCCTCTCATTCTAGATCTGCTAGAAATGTCATTTAGACACCTATATTTAAACAACAGAGAGGTGTTCAGTTTTGAAAATGAACAGGGGTCAAGGGCTTGTATCTTCTGAGGCTCATGTTAAATTTGGGTGCCTTGCTGAGTCATTCTTTTCACCACTTGGCCTGTCTGTAAAAGGATTTCCTGGCAAATTCCTCCCCCCCCTAGTCTCAGAGACAAGCTTGAGACAACCTTTTTGCACTTGTTTTTAGAAAATTTCCTTTACTAATTAAATCGGCTGATGAGGCTGACTAATTTTAATAAAATGGAAGTGTTGGAACTCTAGCCTTGATCTGGTTTCATAATAATTTTCCTGTCTCCTTTCCCTTATGCTTGGGAATTGATTCCTATCCTGTTTGTTAATCAGTCCCAGGTGAGTGGCTGTTAAAATTAAAGGCAGAAACCAGGGACTTGAGGGGACAAATCAATGCAGTTCTGTTCCTCACATATTGATGTATTGATTAGTGTTGTAAATAGAAATTGTTACCTTTTTCAGATCTGCACTTTCTAACATTATCAAAAAGGGAATATAGAGTGTGCATAATTTTTTGTATAATCTTTGTTTAAAGTGTGTGCTTTTTATTTGCTTCCTTGGGCTTGGCCCTCCTGTATTAGTCTCTTTAAGAACCTTTGTAAAAGCTGTGTTCATTAAGCACCAGGTAGTTAATCAAAACAGTCCACTCTCTGGTACTACTAGATGAAAAATCATACTCTACTTAACAAGTTAAATAAACTGAAATATTTCTAGCTGGTCTATTTCTGTTAATATTGAAAATGTGATTTGGTTTTTATTTTCTAAGTCCCATCATTTATATAATAGTAGGCAAAATAAAGCCATTTCTGGGTGTGCCTTTTTCTTGCTGGAGGGGCTAAAGTACTAGAGGAAAAAACTATTATACAATATCAGAAAAGAGTTTGTTTAAATCTCATTGCTAAAAATACGAAGTCTAGCTCTCCTTTTGTTTACTCATGTCAGAAAGACTTCTTTGAGTCACATTTGACTTGAGACTGTTAACAGAATATGTACATGAAGTTTTCTTGGCAAGAGCATGAAAATAATATGCTCTTCCCAGAGTTTGAATCTAAATGTGGTAAAGAAGAGCATCTTAAGGACAATTGGTAACTAAATAAAATATCTTAACTTTCATCTCTTGTGTTGTGGCAACTTAGTTGGGAGAGTTAATTGAAAGTTAATCCTCCTAGCTTTTCTAAGGTGATTTTCCAGTATAAATGGAAAGACTGGAGCAAGTATGTTTGTTCTGCTCCTGATTTTCTGTTATGTACAGTGGGACAAGTGGCTGGTTAGCTTTCTCCATTTTGTCAGTGATAAATCTAAAATTCCCTTCAATTTGCTCTGTCAGCTGGTGTTAAGAGTGATACCAGCCATTGCAAAGCATGTAATGAGAACAAGGTATTCTTAGATGGGAAAGGATTGAACAAAACTTGGAAAGGTTGATAATTGATACAAGGGGTATGGATAACAGGGAAAACAAGATTGAAGACTGAATAAAGTTCTGAATAAAGTAAACGCAATGACCAAGGAAGCATACATTAAACCTTTTGATATATCCACACTTATCTTGTAGTACCTACTTGGAGATTTCACACCTGGCCCTAAACACAATCTTTCTATTTCTAGTACTTCCACAGATAGTCTTCATACTAAGTAGTAGCAATTTTAAAAATGCTAGCATCTCTCTTCCAGCAACCACCAGATAGCTGCCTTCTATCAAGACTTAATAGACCTTCACTTTCATTTCTGTGGCTTCAATATACAGCTTAACTCATCTTTCTTGCCTTATATCTGTTTATTGTACAAATATTTATGAACATCAATTCATAAATATTTCTATCCTAGTCCTTGGTAGCAGCTCTCTGAATTCTCAAGCAGAAACAGTGAGAATAAGTTTGATTTTTCCCATGACCTCCCTCAGTAATTTACTTGGAAAATTGCAACAGTTGAAGTTTTCTGTGTGCAGAACAGTAGCTTTCTTCTGCTACTTGGTGTTTTCTTCCTTCTCATTTTTCCCTTTTGTGACAGCGTCTCTAGGTTCCTTCTCTGTAACACATGTTCTCAGGCATATTTGCTTGGAAGCAACTAACTTGACCTCAAGCAGAATCACTGTGGGATATCCTTAAACTTAGCAGAATTCACTTTAACAGCAGAGGGTGCTGCTCTTCCATTTGAGAAGAGACCAAGAGTCCCATTTTGCTTAAAGTTGATAGGGCTGCTGTTGGTAAGGTTTGAATCCAGCCTTAATGCCATATGCTCAGCACTTATATATTACTCTCCTGATTAAGACTACAGATTTGGTATGATAATTTTGTAATTTGATTCCCTATTTGCTTATAGGCTGAAGACAATATTAAATACCCCTTTTTAGCAGCTTATTCCAAGAAATGCAGTTTATTTTAACGACATTGTACAACCCTTCCAAAATTCAAAGAAGGGCTGAAGGAGGAGGACACGATTTAAATAACATGGTTGACATAAAGCTACTATTCTGCTGTATAAATCCCAGTTCTTGCATTTGCTTAATTTGCTAGCTGGCATAGAAACTTCAATGTAGTTTGCTTGTACACACTAATTGGAAGACCATCATTCCAAAAGAGACCGAACATAACAAGCTCTGCAAAACTGCCATTCTTGCAAAGTTTATGGAGAGATTAGTTTTAATTTATCAATAATACTGATTCAATTTTTAGATTGCACTATATCAGACTAGATTACATACAAAGCTAAGCTATAAATCATGTTACAACCATACTATGTGGGGTTCATATACTACATTAGGGGTCCCCAACCCCAGATCCGTGAACCGGCACTGGTCCTTGGGATGCAGAAACCAGGCCACACAAACAAGCGGAGCCGCATCCACAGGATGCAGGCAGCACACGAAACTTTGTCCCCTCCGGGCCACAGAAAAACCTCTCTACATGGAACCAGTCCCTGGTGCCGAAAAGATTGGGGGCTGATGTACTATACCATCAGATCAAATAAACCACATAAGAGCTTAATGCAATTTGTGGACATTAGTTGTGGGGTTCTCTGCCTAGGCCAGATTGGTCTTCACATTCTCATTTGTGATCTCTCCATTTTTATTCTTCACAATCCAGTGGAATGTTGGAAACAAATTGCATAAAGGTATTAAAGACACTTCAGAAAAGAACCAAATGAGACCAAATATTTTTTTGGGGGGGGGGAGAAGCTGACAAAAAAGAAACATGTCACTGAAGGCTGTTGAGAAAATGATTACTGAAATTCACCCAGTGCAATTTTAGAAATCAGGCAGTTCTTCAGTGGCTTGGAATTTGCTGATTGCTCCATAAGCCCTCCTCCCTCTACTTAGGTAACCCAAAGTGGATCTACTGTGAGAAATTTAGCAGGATTCCTGAAGCCATTATCTTTGTTCCATCCTGTGGTATTTTAGAAGTTAGAGGAGCTCCTGTCAAAGGCATATTCCTGCAAGATTGGAACTCTTTCCCTCTCCTTTTCTCTCTTGCTCCTTCCGCCTGTCCGTCAATCCATCATGTCTTCATCAACGTCAACACTCGAAGTGGTTTTATTTTTCTAAGATCACATTGTATTTTAAATGGAACCAGATAATGGTGGTGCGGAGAATGGCTAGTGTAGTTTTCTATTTCTCCTGAGCAGTCAACACTTAAGGGGGCTTTCCAGAGTAAATAGAGTTGACTGTTAAAAGCCCTATTTTTTTAAAAAAAGTGCAAAATGTTTTATAACAAGGATTCCCAAACTCAAATGCATTAATAAATCAAGCTGCTCGATCTACCCAGACATAAGTTAATTCCAAAGAGGAACTTGTACCTGGGTTCCCAGAATGTAAGAGCTCTTCATGATTAGGTTTTTGAGTCAGCAGAAAAGTTTGTCAAAATAAATTGCACTATCCCACAGCTGAGCTTTACTGCATCTTGGCAGCATGATTGGCCAATGCTGCTGTGCTTGGAAGCTGTGATACAGGACAGTGATTTAAGGGATTCCTAGCTTCCTTTCCCCTCCAGTCTGACTTCACCTACCAAAGGGGAAAAAATAATCGCCCAATTGCTGCTAAGAAAATATGACTCTGCTCAATATCCCCTTTAGCTTCTTCCCGTGCTTCTCAGACACCCATCTGGATAGTCATCTGGAATTTTACACCATTTTACACAACAGAAAATATGAGCTTAGTTCCATAATTGGCCAGGGATAAGAGGAGGCATTATGGGGTCATGTCCCTTAAAAGAGTTAGTAAAATATAATTATGCTTCAGCTAGAAGGACATGGAGGTGGGTCCCAGAATAATTTACTTCTTTTCCTTATTTTTCTACAATTATTAGTATGATTAGTGGGACATTCCAATCCTTTGTTCTATAATTGTTTACTGATACCTAATTTAATAATTCTCTAAAAGTGACTAAAAAGACCTGTAGATTTAGAATAATGTAATATTTTCCAATAATCACAATTTAGAAATTTCAAACAATGTGCCAAGTTCAAACTATGTTAAAAACTGTTTTTAATTGAATGTATTTCTATTTATCTACTTAATTAGTCCAAATTCTTGCAATAAATATGATTTAAGATATATCACATATTGTCCAACAATTCTGGAGACAAATACTGCAATTGTCAATCTCACCTAATTCCAGGTAGTTTCCTCTGTCCAATTGTTTCCTACTTAAAAGAAACCGTTTTCATCTGTTTGTTAGCTGAGGGAGTCGGCGTTGTCTGAAGACATTTCTGTGATTATGTGACTAGCATGACTGAGGCACACAGAAAGTTATATTCCCACCAAAGTGGTGCCTATTTGTCTACTCACAT